GTCGGATGGCATTGTATGGGAGGTGTCTGCAAGTGATCATTATCTAGCTCGGGGTAGGGTACCACTGGTTATGTGGTAGGGATGGGATCTCTTCAAGAGGTTGACAGTGGATTTGGAGGCTTCCATTGTCGAAGTCTGTTCGATTTTTCTTGTGGCAGGTTGGTCATGAAGCACTTCCCATAGGTACATTTTTGGTTCACTGACATGTAGGTCATAATGGGAGCTGTTTACGGTGTAAGAGGGACGATGAGAGCATAACGCATGTGTTGTTTCACTGTGCACCTGCTATAAGATTGTGGCAGCTGTTGCACTTGGAGGAGGTGGTCCAATGGTGGTTTGGGTCTTGGCAGGAGTGATTCATGTTGTGTTTTTCGAGGTTTCATATTCTCCCACTTATTGTTTGCTGGGTTCTTTAGAATATTTGAAATGAGAAGCTTTTCAATAGGTGTGAATCTTCTGTGTGAGAGGCCTTGCACCAAGTACGTACTCTGCATGTAGCCATGTTGAGTGCATTGCTGCCACAGGTGCTGCTGCATCACATGTTGTTGGGCCTACGTGGGTCTCTTGTATATTTGCAGAGGGTTCACAGATCAACCTTCATGTTGATGCTAGTTCAAAGGGGCATCAGGTTATGCTGGAATTGGAGGCCTTGCACGTGATTCGGATGGTACATGGCTGTGGGGGTTTTGTGGGGCAATTGGAGTGTTTGATATTTTGAAGGTGGAGCTTATTTCTATTCTACATGCTCTACGACTTGCTTAGAGAAGGTGCATTTAATCTGTGTTATGTATTTCCAATTTAGCCATTGCTATAGAGCTTGTGATGCAGGATAATCAAAATAATCATCAGCATGCAGTGATTCTTTATTCAATTAAAGAGTTTGTGCATAAACCCTGGAAGATTCGATTTATGCACTGCTTCCGAGAGGGGAATCAATGTGCAGATCTTTTGACTAAGATGGATTAGACGTAGAGTTTGGAAGTTGAGAAACATGAAGTGGAGTCTCAATTGTTAGTTGATATGATTGATATCTTAATCCTTTAGGTGTAATTCTTTGTTTTATTTGCTTGCTAGTCCATTACTAAAAAAAAAAGTTACAATTACGTAATGAACTACAACTAATGACCTTCAAATTGAATTTAACATTAACAAATGCCTAAATATTTTTCATTTAGCTCAAATAATTTATAACTCTAAAAATGTTAATTAGTCCCCCAGTACACTTGGTTGCAAATTATAGTTTTATTAGCGTTAATTGTATAATTATGATATAACTAAGTTTTACTACTATTAATATATGTTTTACAATTTTTCGTCCTTATATCAGTGTCATACATAAAAAAATTTAAAAGTTAACAAGTAAATATATTTAAAAAATTAAAAAATGTATTACAAATTTAATATCAGACGATAATATTATATCTTTTAAAATCTTCTATGTAATCAATACAGTATTTATTGCATATTAATTTTATCTATTCAATATTTATCGTGTGAAATAATATATAACAAAAAATAATATAAAATTTATTTTAAATTAAGAAATATTTTTGTGACTTATTATTTTTAATAAATTTAATTTAAGTATACTGATAAAGTAAAAAAAATTCTACATTATCGTATAATCATGAATTGACATACACCACCGGTGTACCTAAAATAGATGCTGACACAAGTTGACTATTAATTTAGATTTTTATTGTATCTTTGTTTTTTTTCTAAAATTTATTTTATTATTATATTATTTTCTTACCTATGATATTTTAATTTTTTATTATGCTTTGTAATTCATTTGTATCTCTTATTTTGGAATGCTTTAATATAATTTTACTAAGAGACCTAATTTTCAATTTTATCAATTTTAAATCCACAACAATAACTCTGAACTTCCATGTTATATCATTCTCTTTCATATTAACAACCGAAGTTTACATATATATATATATATATATATATATATATATATATATATGTGGTATTTAAAAATAATATATATTAAAAATGTAATTTTTTAAAACTATGTAAATATACAAATTTATAATCGCTAATGATGATTTTTTTTTAAAAATTTAAACTACTAAAAATCGTCAGTATTAGTTTTTCAGCTCAGGAGATTTTTAATTTTTTTTATAATTATATATATAGATATTAAAAATTATTTATTTTAGTATTTAAATTTTTTGCTCATATTAAAAAAAGCCCATGTGAATTTTTTTTTCAATAAAAAAGGTGTCTCACCTAAATATTCTTCATTAATGACAAATGATTGTCCAAAAATGCTAAAAGATTTTTTCCTATCCATGTTTTGACTCAATTTTTATAGGATTTATTATTTTTATTAAACTTGACTAAGACTCGATAATATTATAACAGGACTGAATGAACCTGACTTATAAACAAAATATATCGATTTTAATATCATATATAAAATTTGAATTAAAAAGTATTTTTAAATAAAGAATATCAATATAAATATAATATTGTAATATGTAAAATAATATTTATTAAGTCTTGAAGTATTATTATTAATATAATTATTTAAATTCTCTTGAGGTGCGTGGCCTCAAGAGTAAGGAGTGTCCAAGAGTGTCACAGTGTGATAGTAACATTCCCTGTCTAAGAATAATTTTACTTTTTAACATTTTTATAACTTTTTACTTATTAAATTAATTAAAAATTAAATATATTTTACATTTTCACGATATTAAATGCATTGATATTTTCATACTTAAACAAACATTAAGAGAATTAATGGAAATAAACAGTAATCGAGTATAGCATTATTCTTTTTAAACAATTTTAATTATTCTTTTATACTTACAAATCTTCTCAATTATTAAATGAAGAAATTATTAAATAATTTTTACATTTTGAAGATAATAAATGCATACATTTTTTCTTACTTTAAAAAATAGTAAAAGAATTATTAAAGAATATAAAAAAAAACTCCCCATTAATTTTTAAGTAAAATCTTGAATAAATTGTGTAAAAAAAGACTTTACTAGATGATGCTAAAAATATTTTTAACTCGCGCATAATTGCCTCTCATCGAAGACAATGATTACCCTAAGTCAAATATTTTAAAATATATCACCTTTGTTTTCATTTATTTTTCTAAAGAGTAGATAAATCTTATTTTATTTATCTATCTGTGTAAAGGTTCAAAACAATATAAATTATTTTATTTTTATTAATACCTTTTTTCCAGTATAAACATTTTCAGTATAATCAATAAAGTATTCACACTAATTGAGTAACCTAAAGGTTAAAAAATAAATCCACTAATAAAGAATATATTAGAAACTTTATCAACCAATTATAACAAAATTATTAAATTATTTGATTTTTTTTCTCTTAACTAATAAATAGAAATAAAAATAATATAGTTAATGTGTATTAATCCATACATTTTTTTTTCAAGAAAAAGAATAAACTCTTTTTCCCCCATTACTCTAGGGACGTGCAGAGTGAAGACACTTTTTAGCTAACACAATTTATAAATACATTCACTTACCTTTGAAACTTATTTAAGTTGCTGTTTTTTTTTTTTATTTACATATGAGATAAATTAAAAATTGATATTTCTATTAATACTTTTATAAGATAAATATATATATATATATATATATATATATATATATATATATATATCGGCAACACACTTTTCTATAATTGAATGAATTTTATGTCACTTCCTATAGAAAAAGAGAATAGACCCGAAGCATTTAGCACATAAAATTGACCCACCAGTATGTGTTAGAATATAATGTAATGTTTTAAAGAGTAAATCACATTTTCTTCTCTCTCTCTCTCTCTCTCTCTCTCTCTCTCTATATATATATATATATATATACATATATATATATATACACACACACTTTATAATACCTTTCTTTTTATTTTAAAATGTTATAACCATTTTTCTTAAAAAATAAAACATGTCATAATTTTATTTATTTTAAATTTAATTTTTTATTAAAGCACCATTAAATATTTATTTCATATATATATATACACACACACTATCAAAATACCTCAATGTGTTCTTCATGAAAAAGTAAGTACTTGTCATTGTTATAAGAATTTTAAAAAGTCTACATCAAATAATTAAAACAAAAAAAAATCATTAAATGGGAATATAAATAACTCATTTTAAATGAATGAATATATCCATTTATATATATAGATAATGGAAGAGTACCTCATTAACAGAAATCTCATAATACATTAGGGTATAAAAATAATTTAATAATTAATAATTTAAAAATAAGAGCATGTTTAATTATATTTTTAAAATATTTTTCTGTTTTTAAAAATAAAATATGAAATAAATTTGTATTATATTTTATTTTTAAAAATAGAAAACTGTTTTTAAAAGGTAATCAAACAAGCTCTTAAGTCTTTACTTTTATATTTTGAACCAAAATTTTAGTTTTATGAATAGGACTAAACGGTGAGGCTAGCATGATGTATTAAGATAAACGTGATTGAACTAATTGGTACAACCTCCCTCCACAAATACTTGCCAGACCAGGTAATGCACAGTGCAAGACATGGAAATTGTGATTTCAGTACAAATCACAAGCCATGGAAGCAATTAACTAACATTAAGTGAAGCTGCCTAATATGTATGTTGAGTAAAATTTCTCAAAACAAGTATATAAACCTCACTCCAATAATTAAGGCAGAGGACGTGAGACTTTTCAACGGAGGGAATGAATTGAGAAGATTAAGAGGCGACACTGGACGTTGAAAGATTGATGATCCTAAGCGGGCAGTGTGGTGTTCTCTCAATAATCAACATAAAACCTCTACCACTCCCAAAAAACTTAAAGAGAATTATCAAGGTGAGCCTTACCTACTAAAACAGCACAAAAGAGCACTTCCAACAAATTTAAATGGAACAATCGAATCCCTCCAAAAAATATACTAAAATGATCCAACAACCACTCTAAAGAATCTTATGTTGCTTCTTACGTCAATATAAAACAAGTGTTTGAAAGGATGACTAAGGAGTCCATCATATAACAAATATAAAGCTTAGAAAAAGAGCTAAAGCAATAATTGCCGATAACAAGAGCTACATAGATTTTCATTGAACTTTAAATTACACAACTTGTTGAAGCCCGAATAATGATCACACAAAGGTACTTCTTTGCAAAGAATGCTTTGTGAATATCTGAATATTCAGAAACCTCGCAACAAAATAAAAGCATAGCAATGACTCACCGGAGGATGAACCTATTTTAATTTGTAGAAGAGCATGTTCTAGACATGTTATACATCATGGATCCAATCACCGCTGTTGGCTCCGTAATTCATATTCATGCTTCTGAACTGCTAATCATCCATAGATGCAAACAAAATGAAGAGCCATTCGTCAGCAAAAAAGAAACCACCAAATAATACCAAGACAACAAAATTACAACCTTTTGACAAATGGAATAATTCGTTATGAAAAAGAAGTTAAGAAAAAGTTCACCTTCTCAACAGCTTGTGAAGCACCAGACAAGACTTGACTGCCTTCCCTAAGGAGTTGCAATCGGGTGCGCTTCATTTGATTATGTTGTTCTCCCTAACACAAACATGAGGATTAGGGAAATGGAATTCAAGGTAAGAAGACAAAAAGAATATAACTCAGAAGGAGAGAAGGGGAAAAATTCCTTTTTGGTTTGGTTAAAGGAGAGGAAAGGATCCCCTTGTTTGTTTGGCAAGGATATCGGGGGTAAAAAAGTAATATGCTGTAACTGCTGTATCCTTATAAACATTACTAGAGAGGAAAGGAAAAATAATATCTCAGGACAATTTAGTCAGCATAGTCCAAAATATAAATCATTTTTCCACCCCTCCAAATCCTCCAAATATTGAAGGGGGAGGGAATTTTGGCTCCATCAGGAGCCTTTCACCACATGTTTGCTTTTGTAACATCTAACTGTATGTAGAGGAGTTGCACGACAAAGATTAGCATAGTTATGCTGAAAGGAATAACTCAGAAACAGGGCAATAACAAAGTGAATAGTTGTTTGTGGAGTCCACATGTACAAGGACGAGAAACTTTGTCTATTCCAATTTGAGAATGAAAAAACTAAACCATCAATTGGAAAGGGGATAATATGAAAATAGTGACACAATCACTGAATCGGTGTGGGCTGAGATAAGATAACTAAAGAGAAAAGAGAATATGACAATAATTGTCAAAAAGACTAAAAAATGTACAATGCCTTCAACCAATGAATAGGGAAGTACTAGTTTTCTACTCCACTTTCAGCATAATTTGACGAAGATACACTCAAGTAAAGTACCTACCAATTGCACCATATGCATTAATTGCTTAATTTCATTCTTCTTTGCTGCAGTCAGATTCTCAGCAACATCCATTATGTTACTCCTGCATTTGTATCAACGCATAATTATTGAGTTTAAATAACCAACATATAGTAATTGTAATGAAAAACAAGTAACATGATAAGCAGAAGGTAAATTGAATAAATATTATGCTAAAAATAATCATCATAGGTCCCCTAGTATATTCTGAAGGTAAACCTCCATCAACATAGATAAAAATGAGACTAACTAAAAGGAACCTTATGAGGTTGAAGATTAAGCTTTCACTATTGTTGATTTGACAGCTAAAGGAACAATTTCTTTTAATATAACCATCCCGCGTTTATAAAAATGACAACATGCTACAATAAACTAAAAATGCTCTTGGCAAAATCCATAAATACCTATCAGCAGACAAGAGATCCAGATCTTGTTCTTCCACAATTTCCTCAACAGCATCAAGAGTGGCTCCTGCCTACAAGAAATATGAACTTGAAATGACAGACTAACTAGGATATGGTAGAATTTGAAGGGCATGCTTGAATGACCTACAGAGAGGATGACAGAAAGGGCATCAAAGCCTGAATATGGCCCATTTCTAGGCCTCCCTATCTGACCTCTGTTAGGTTATATAAAAGTATTCAATGCTTTCCCTTGAGTTAAAGGGTGTCATGTTGCTATGATTCCATAAGTACTGCAAAAGATTTTAGAGAAAATTTATTCAAGGCCAAAGCTTAACTTGTAGAGAACAGGTTGTTGAAACTCAAATAAAATTGGAAAGGTTCAACTTCTTAACCAACTCAGCAAATTCTAAAATTCCCTATATTGAAATATTCATAATTTTGAGTTTCGTGCAGATTTAATTAAAAAAAAGAAAACCTTTAATTCATCTTGATTGTTTTATTTGTTTAGTACCACTTATTTTATTTTTTAACTATTAACCAGTGAGTGATATTTGACTACTTGCAACAATAATTTTAAGCATCCTTGAAAAAAACACAATAAAATGAGTTTCTCACAAATTATTTGATTACATATATTTTAAGAATTTGATTAAAATAATATGCAATTCCTAACATCAACAAAATGTCTATATTATTTCAATTTATATTTTCCACTCTTTCAATAGTGCCTTCAAGTATAAATTAAGGGGAAAGTTCCTTTAAAGTGAGTGTTTCTAAAGTGAGAGTGTAACAGTGTATCTACCTTTAAATTTTACTGGGTTAAGATCACAATACAATTTAGATTAAATCAAGAGTGGAAAGTGGATGCACCCTTACTTGCTAACTTTAAAACAACCTCACTTTAGACGAGCCTTGTCCAGATTAAAGCATAGTACATAAATTTCTAAAGTTTGCCCATTTGATTTCCATTAATCTTAATTCTTCATCACTCAGAAGTAAAAATCAAAGAAAAACTATATTATCCTTAATTCCAAGTTTCCAAGCACCAGAACATCAGCTCTAGCCAGGTCCTCTCCAACTAAATATCATATGTAAGCTCCACTACTTGAAAAATCTAATTCAGATATAACTAAATTACACAACAGTTATCAGAACAGTGATTCTGGGAACAAGGTTTCCCCCCAAAATGATAGTAAAGAGATTCAAGGCATGGATTTGTAGCTCGTGCTGTATGCAACAGAGACAATAGTAAAGTTATACCTGTGTTTGAAGACAGATTGTCTCAAACCCATCCTGTAAAAGTCAACTAACAGAGCATTTAGAATTCATAGTTGTTTGACAGAGAGGGAAGATAAATAAAGAGAACAAAATTGCACAGTTACAACAATTCATGATCACATCATTTTGAAAGAAATAAAAGCAAAAAAAATTAACCCACCATTGCAAAACTATTTAGGACAGTTTTCAAAAAGAAACCTTAATTTCAGATTTAGTTTATGAAGACAACTACCAAAACCAGTGTGTTAGCATATATTGAATAAGTGCCTAATTAAGCTGTGTACAGACATACATCCTTTATCTATAATTGTATTCAAAATTAGTCACAAAAATTATAAATATTTTCACATAGAAGTATTTTTAAACTTTTGATCTATTGACAATGAATAAACCAAACACATTTTCTATATTTTCCTTTTCTGAAACTAGAAAACAAGATATCAAAACAAACATGTTTTCTAACTTGAAAATATGAAAATGAAAATTATTTTCAGAAAATGAAAACAAGAAATGAAAATAGAAACATTTTCTCATACTAAACAGGCCCTTTGTTTACTGACTCAAACTAAAGAAGATGGTTCGGTACTAAGGATCTGAAATAGTGAAGCATCAGCAATCAGCATCAGCCAAACTTGAAAACATCAAAAGTGATATTTAGATAACAGTCTCAATTGTTGTGTGAAGCATCCCATTAAGCATTTATAATAGAGATGGAATGGAATGGATTCTAGTTCCGACATTAAGAACATCAGCAGTTCTACGTACCTCTACGTTTTCATGCAATGAAGTAATGACCTGAAAGGTTTGATACATAAAAGGCAATTAGATAACAAATAAATGAAACTCCAAGCATTTCTTGACACTTGGCCTTTGAAATATAGATGATAGGAATGCAAATGGTTGAGGAAAGTGTATATATATAATTTCTAACTACAAGGTTGGACAAGAAATTTTCAAAGATTAATATTGACATAGATTGTAAGTATCAATTCTCATCTGAGTATCTGTATAAGGAAATCATAGAATTAGAAATCCAAGGTATCTGATAGCAGACCAATATTAAAAAAAGTGTATACGAGGCAATATAAGAATAAGGTAGGAGACCAAAACTGAACTAACAAAATAGTTAGGACTGGTCATTAATAGAATAAAGGATATAAAAGGAAGAGGAGGGAAAGCACGGAAGAGGTTGATTTTAGGAATTGGGTTGGGAGAGTATTCGGCGTTTCTAGGAGTACGCTACCTCGGGGTCACATTGACCAGAGGAGATTTTGTGAATAATACAAGTATTTTTCTCTTTCTTTATCTTACTATACTGGACCAGTTTTATCAACCGGTATCAATATCACTGCATTGATTTCAAAAGTCGTAACTCAAAACGCAGTTGATTTTGAAAACTAGATGTAAGAAGTAATGACCTGGGTCAAACTCATTGTCAGTTTGTCACAAACTCACAATGTTTGTCTTATTGGCTAAAACTCAATGTCACATGCAGAAATATATTTCTGATACAAAAAAATTAATATCAACAGCACATACCTGAAGGTATATGCGATGAAGCAATTCCTTTTCGGTGTCAGAGAAACTTGAAAAAGATTTTAAAAAATCCTTCAAAAATTAAAACAGAAACATGTATCAATATTGTAGCCAGTTTGAAATGCAAAATATTAACTTAATTTCAGATTTGGAGTTTAGCAATCAAATTCAAACCGTAAGATAATGATGTAAGCTATCTCAAATGGGAGACATACAACTGAACCATTACTTTCTACTAAGTCAGTATCACAGTGTAAATATGTCATGGCTATTATTTTAGTGAAAAAGCATTTGATCTGAACTAGTTAGATCAATTTGAATAATATTGTATTACTACTATAAAGTACAGGGAGTGAAACCACACAATTGTGACATGAGTTACCAAATCATCTTTAATGTGTGTCAAAGTATTATTTAAGAAATCCACAATATCAACTAACTAATTTTTTCCTATGTCTTGCTTCATAATTGGTAATGCCATCTAGTTTATTGAAAAAGCAACAACCCGAACTCCTCCCCAACTTCTCCACACTAATTACAAGGCTAGCACATAAGGAGAGTGTGGCATGCTAGGAACACTTGTGCATTTGATGTTATTTCAGAATTGACAATCAACAAATATAAGAAGACCAATACATGATAAAAACAAACTAAAAAAAGGACAGCACTGGTTGATCCTGGTCTTTCCCAGGGTGTGGTTACAATGCAGATAATTTGATTTCTCCCATCCACATTTCCCCTTGGTTCAAATAGTTTCTATTCAAATAAAGCTTAAAAGTTTAGGAATATTCAATTTTTCTGCAAATTATTGTTATTTTTATTGGTAACAACATGCAAGGTTAAAAAGTTCAATTTCCTTTTACATGCCTACTTTTCTCCCCCATTCAGTTTTTCCTATACACAAAATTGAAAAACAGCTGGGAGAAGCGAGAGAAGTAAGAACAATGAAGTGCACCTCCTTTGAGCATGAAGTGAGCAAAGATCGGAGAGAATATTTGAAAGACTTTTTCAAATTGGAGAACCTGGAACCAAATCCCGTAGTAGGTGATAATGATGCATTGGTACCAAGTACATGCCTTTCCTCCATTGCCTCAGAATCAATGACTATGAAGAATGATCAGGAACAGAACAGAAATAAAAGCATAAGATGGAAGGTGAATATCATGCATGCAAATCACATGCGGTCCAAGTGTGTGAACTGTGAAGCAAAGATGTGAGCAACAATTACCTGCAACAAGTTCCTTGAAAATTTGTCAGTTTTCCTTTGAAAGGCTGAATTCACGTTTCTCACCAACAGCTGTTTTACTTTTTCCTCCTATGTGATGAAAGTGGTAATGTAGTAACCTGAAAGTTATACCATGGTAAACATTGGAAAGCCAGATTACATATGAACTAGAAAAGTATATACTAAGGAGATGGAAATAGGCTCAAAATTACAATAACAATCTGATTCCCATATCCAAGCATTACGAGCTACAAAATTGGCAGATTTTGGAATCTTGTTACAGATCAGTTGTCAAAACCAGACAGAGTAGTTTTCAAGTCTATAATTTATGCCACTAAGTCAATCATATCACTGCAGAGAATACAGCAGCGACCACTATTGCACACAATATGTCAATCAGGCACCACAATCTCTTTATCATTTCATTACAGCTGAGAGTTAAGAGAATAATGGAAGTCACATTTATCACTACTGCACAAGTTAGCACTCAACTGACTGAGTATTTGAGCATATTAAAAGTAATAGATGAAATAATTGCTGTCCCAACTAACATCAATTAAAATATCAATTCCCACCTTCATGTAATATAAGTCTAGGATATATGTATACAGAAAATTTTAAAGTTTATTTAAAGGTTTCACAAAGGAGTACTGTAGCTTTGGATTTTGAAGTGAATGATAGGTTTGCATGTAAAGGGCTAGAATGGAAGTTAAAGAAATACAAAGTCCAACGTCAAAATATTAGAATTATTGAGCAGTAATGTCATTAGGCTATTCAGCTATTGGTATAAAAGGAGATATTGGTATTGGAGAAGACTAGTTGGAATAATTGATAAGCAATTGAGTGAACTAAAGGTACGAGGCATGAGACCATTGGGTGTTATTAATACTTAGTAGCATCAATTGCATGGAAGAAGGAAAGCAGGTTGTTACAACAATTATAAATTTACAGAGTAAAATATATAACTCTTTCATTTAAACCATTTCTCTTCAACTTTTAAGAACCAACTCCCTCACTATTCCACATCTAAATAAGTTACAACCTTTAAGAATTTTGATAAATCCAATTATTCAAATATATGGCACAGAATTTATTTATTAGCAGAAAAATACCTCAAAAGACAACGTTCATTAACTGACACCGGCAAGGTCTCTTGTAATTACCAATGTTGTTTTGGCTTATGATCCAATACTGAAAATGCAATACCGGGTTCAACAAAGATATTTTACAAATGCATATCTTAGGTTAAAAATATGGTCATTGCAATCTGACTACATTTGCCCCAAATCAATAAAATCAAACTAATTCCTGCAAATTTCTCTCTCTCTCTCTCTCCCTCTGTATGTGTGTGTGTGTGCGCGCTTCAATGGGTAGGATAGCTCAGTTTTTGCATTGCAACAATAGTCTCTCTTTTTGTTCCAAACAGCCACTTTATCAAAATTGAGATCCTACCAAGGATTGAGACGGACGTGGAAGATCGTAAGTTGCTGGACAACCAAACCACAAGATCCTACCAAAACACAAAACTATACTTAATCATATACAGATGCATAAAATAACCTAGAAAACGAAAATGGGATCTAACTCACGACGTTTGACTAAACTAAAATTGAAAATTGATAGTCATAAAGGTTAGATACAACTCAAATAAGTCACTTAACAAAAGGAGTCCATAATGGGAAACCAGATCAGAGAGCATAAACAAAGGAATAGAAGCTTGAAAGGCAGAACAAACAGAGCGCATATGATGGCCGATGGAGGCAGAACGCAGAAACCAAAGGGCTAATTACAGTTAATTAGGGTTAATTTAGTGAGGATTTGTGGGTTCTTTATTGCAAGGCACGTCACGAAACCAAACCAAACCAAACCGGCGAGCCCAGCTGCAACAAACGCATCTAGGCTACTAGAACTTCTTCAAATTTATCTTTAAGGGCATTCGGATGGTGTTTATCATTGTATGTACAACTAACAATTAGAAACAGTTTCAGGAATGAAGTTTGATAAGCATGGATTAATAGTACATGTTAACGCAAGCAACAATAGCATTAAATCCCACAGCCACAGCCACAGGGGAAAAAATGGCTAACCTGTTCCTGTGCTCCCTCAACCCGTTGCTTCTCTTCTCTGGGGATGTTGGAGACTGCGAAACCGTAACTTCAAAAGCGAGGGAAAGAAGAGCTTCTTTAAACACAATATCTTGCTGTGTTGCCTTCGTTTTGGGCCTACGCTTCACTCTTATTTGAATTTCAGGACAAAAGAATTTTTAAATTCTACTTTCTTCTTTCTTTTTAACTGTTGTTGACTTAGAATCTTTAATCTGTCTCTGTATATAAACTTAAGTACTAATTTTCAAATAATTTTTTTTTAAAAATTAGGTCAAATAAAAATATTTTTAAGTATTAGTTATGTCATTTAACTTTTCATAAATTGAATATTTAATTTAGTTTTTATCAATTATTTTTTAATTTAAAAATACATTTTAATTTAACATAATAAAATATTTATATTTATTAATTAAATAATTTTTAAAAAATATAATATTTGTTAAATTATATATATATATATATATACGTGTGTAATATATATTAGAATAATGTATAATTATTTATTAATTTTTTAATTTGGATATGGATATACATGTTATTTTATTATGTGCTCATGGGTTTGGAATTTGGAAAAACTTGTTATGGTGGTTAAAATTAAATTTCCATCAAATTCTTGGAGGCTTCATTTAATTTTTTAGAATATGACAAATAATGGTATTTTCTCTTTAAGATTTGCTTATTCTTTATTATTTTATTCAAAAAAAAATTCTGCTTAGTTACTATAAATTGTTTGACTTAGTTTAGAAATAAGAAAGTTCTCATTAAATTAAATTGTTGCTCTAAAAATTTGCTCACAATAATAAGTTGACTAATCATGAAGAGTGTAAACAAGGTATGTCAACTTCTCCTCTTTGTGATAGATGTGATGAGGATGCAGAATTTGCTATTCATTTCATTAGATATTGCTTTTATGTTAATGAAGTTTGTGATTCTTTTAATTTTTTTTCTCATCATTGAGCTCCTTTCTTTAATAAAGGAATAATGAATTGATTAATGTTTAAACTTTCTAATCAGAATTACAGTAAATTTCCTTATTTAGATTATTGTTTGATATCTTTAGAAAGAAAGAATATTTTATTTTTAACAATGTTTTTGTCCAACCTTAGTTTCTAATTCACATTATTTTATCTAATTTTCAGTTTCAATTTGGCTGCTGTTAGAATTTAGTTGGTTCCCTTCCTAAGTAGATGAATTAAAAAGTCCAAATCAAATAGTTCCCTCCCTATGTGAATGAATGAAAACTCAATATGGATGATGCAGTTTCCGTGGTAGATGGTTTTGCTGCCTGTGGAGGCTTAATTCGGAATGCACAAGGTCACTTCTTGGTTGAATTTTGCAAAAGTTTAGCTTCCTACTCGCTCAGTAACTGTTGAGCTTTGGAACATTCTATTTGAGTTAGAATTCATTGTTCAAAGAGGGTTGAATATCATTTGGATTGAAAGTGACTTTAAAGAATCATTGTCTATAATCTTCAATGTATAGAACTCTTACCCATTATTTAACTTAATTACTAGAATTAAGAATGTAATTAACAATTTGTTAAATTTAATCTTATGTATAAGAAATCTAATCATTGTGTAGATCACTTTGTCAAATTAGGCCTAGAATTTTTTTAGTCATCCAATTCTATTGACATTATCCCTTCTCCCTTTTCTTTATATTGATTTTTTAGATATTTGGTCCCATATATTAGGACTTTAACTTTATTTGTTAGTTGGACTTTCTAGCTCCTTTAAATAGAATAAAAAATATAAAATTATAAATTTAAATTATAAAATTATTCTTGAATAATTAAGATTAAAAATTAAGTAATAATCACATAATGAATTTAAAAAATTATGTATATTTATCTTTTAATATTTATATAAAATTTAATAATATATACTTATTATGCATTTAAATAGGTATTTTTAAAATATTACGTTGGTTTAATTTTTTATATATACAGATTATAGCACATAAATTTAAAGTTATATAAAATAAAAGATAATACAAAATAAATGAATAAATTATTCCTTCAACGCATTTTTAAAAAATTATTTCTTCTGATTAGAGAGAAATTTAAAAATATATTTAGGATAATATAAATATATATATATATATATAATTTTTGAAATATATTAGAAATTTATTTAGTTATATTAAAAAAATAAATATGACATGTTTATAATCATTCTTTATTAATTATTTGACTTAATTATATTTTTTCTCTTATATTAGTGAATATTTTATTTTACTTCTTTCAAATGAATTTTTTTTTAGTCTTTACTTTTTTTAAAAAAAAGTATCTTTAATATAGATGTGATGAGACTAAAAATTGACATGAGCTAGTATCTTAACAGAACAAATTAGTATTAGAGATTAAAATAAAAAATTATAAAAAAGTAACTACTGAAACAAATTTGAATGAATTAAAATAAAAAATTCACTAAAATGTGAAGATTTAAAATTTTAAATTTAATTATTTTAATCTTATAAATATAAATAATTATATACTAAATTATATATATATTTCAAAAATATTTTAGAAGCGATTAGACATTACCTACTTTCTTAGACATGTTCCTTTATTTTTAATGATGTATTTTTTTTAGAAGTTAATTTTTTTTTAGAGAAAGGAAATAAAAAATAAACTTAATTTAATGATAAAATATGTTTGAGAGTTTTTATATAAAAGAGAAAATTTTATAAATTTTCTTAGACTGTCGTAAACTCCTATTATTATATTAATATTTTGTATTACAACTACTAAGACGTTATTTGAAGGTTTGGAGGGAGAGGTAAGAAAAGCATTTGAATGGTAAGGAAGGAGAGAAGAAGGTAAAAAAAATGGTACCTTGAATGCAAAATATTAGTCTAAAATGCATCACTCATCCAAAAGTTGATTCATTTCTTACCCTAGAAAGTGTAGTCAATCCAAAATGCATTACTAGAGGGGGATTGGACATGTGTTGACTATGTAGAGTTATGACGTGTGTTGTAACACAGGCAAATTAAATCGAATACCAACTATAGCATAGTAGGTATCAGATCATTTCTCAAAGATGAATGCACTATTTGATAAAAAAAAATTCAAGGATTTTGTTCATCAAACACTTGGAATGCAATATGTATAAATCAAAGAAAAACATATAATGATAAGTAATAGTTGAATTAAAGATTAAATCCAAGACACAACAAGGAGAATACAATCAACATTTAATCATTGTATGCAACACTCCAATTCAATGATTAGCCTTAAACTTAAATGAAACCTCAATCTAAATAAAAGCATTCATATGGCAAACTCCATGCATTCAACCAATTACATAATCAATTTGATTTAGAAACCTCTAAAACTAAATTAAATTAAATTAGTTTCAAACACCATTGTAACTAATCTTATGCTCAGATCTAAAACATAATTCATACTCCTTAAACAATCAAATCACATATATCAATTGAATCACACATGAATTGAACATTCCTAATCAGAATTCAAGAATGAAAAACTTCAATAATTTGTGAAATTAAGAAGGAGAGGAGAGATGAAATTGAATTAATGTGGCATCCAATTAGTGCTCCAATCCTCAAGAGTTTAATTGTTCTCCTTGATGTCTTAGATCAAAGAATCACTCCTCTATTACTGGAGAAAAATGAGAGAGAGAGCTTTCTATTTTTAAAAACTTAAAAATTTAAAAATAGGAAAAAAAAAGTCCCCTAAAATATGTAGTTCGAGTCATTTATATGTTTTCTGTGCCTTTAGAGTGACCAATCTTGTCACCCAGAGTGATTACGTGCAACAAATCTCTTTATTTTATATTTCTAGAATGATCTTACTGCTGAAAGTAGTTATGCCTCTAGAGTGATTATGCAACGCCCTGAATTTTGTAATATTATTTATTATTATTTATATAAATCTAAATGTATACATGTGTGCATATAAATGTAAATGGATGTCATAAATTTGCATTGGAGGCGTAATGATGGTGGTTTTGTATGTAATGAGTATGAATATATGTATAAATATGTACGCGTGGGTGTATGATTGATTGGATTAGATTCCCTGATGCTGAAAACAGGTTAAGGGTGTAATACTGGGTTGTCCTCGCTGTAGCGAAAGGATTCTCGCTGCAGCCAGAAGGCTCTAAAAGGAGGGACCGAAACTATCGCCTTCTCGCTGTAGCGAGAGACATCTCTCTATAGTGACAAAGCAACAATTTTGGGCACATTTCTGCGTGCAGTCTCGCTGTAGCAAGATTCTGCAGAAACCAGAGTACAGTTTTCTCTAATTTTTCACTGTAGCGAGAGAGCGTGTCGCTGCAGCGAGAATATCTCATTGTAGCGAGTGTTGCGACCAAAGGGGTTTTAAAAAGGAGGTTTAGGGTTTGAGAATTCATTTCTCAAAATTCCTTTGATTCTCTCAACCCAAAGCCCTATTCCACTTATTAATTGCCTCCAAAGCGGTTCAGGAGCTTTATTGAAAGTTGAATCTGTGTGGGGAACGCTTGGAGGTGAGTTTTAATAGTTAGGGTTTCGGTTTTTCATCCCTTTCTCTATTTTCGTGATTTCCCTGGGTTCTCATGGAGTTTCTCCATGTGTTCAAGATAAAATCCGTGAGGGGAGCACTTCTTGGTGGATTTAACGTGTGGGTCTTCGATTCGAAGTAAGAGGAGACTCTACTCTATCTCAATGTGTTGTAATTCTTATGTGTTTGATTGATTAATGCAATGTGGCTAAGATAGGGAGTAGAACTTATGTGTTTGATGGAAATTAGTGTGCAATGTGATGTGTGCTGGAATAGTTAGGCCCCGTGGGAGAAATTGTGTGTGATGGAATGTCATTGATTAATGAATTAATGATATTGTGAACAAATTAGGCTATGTGCCATGTAATGTGAATTAAATACAGGTTGTGTGCCGTGCGCAAGCATGAATATTGCGTGTGTGAATGAAATGTATGTGAATGGAGCATGTTAGCGCCGTTGTAATGTACTGTGAATGGTTTAACGATACACTAGAGGTGTGGAAGATGAGGACGATAGAAATATCTTGGGGAGGAGAGAGTGGCGGTGACACCGACTGTGGAACGGGTGCACCATAGGCTACACATTCTTTTCCTGACTAGACCTTTGACCACTACCTTTGTTGAGCGACCTGTGACTGCCCACGTGGTATCCGTGAGGTAGGGGTAACCGGCGACCATTCATGGTATAAATATGTGATCATAGTATCACAGTGAATGTGGCTGGTGTGCACATGCACGAGATTGTTATCATCGTTTGTATTTATGAATGTGAAATGTTGTTGGTGCCGTAAGTGCACTGGTGTGGAATTAGAATGAACCATGTATTGATACTGTTTGTGTTATATCTGTTCAAAGGTATTGAAATTGTGTTTGAGGTGAGACTCTATGATAAATTGTATGTTTTTGGGTAGTATAGAGTACTCACTCTTACATTCATTTTTCAAGTAATCAAGACGATCGGCTCCGGACTCAATGAAGGGACGGATGGACTGTTATAGGACTTAGCTTTTATTTTGAAAATGTTGTAACTGAACTAGTTTTGTAGCGGTCATTTGATATTAATTTGTAACACTTCCCTTATTTCGAAGTATTTTATGAAAATTTGGTGGTTTAAATTTGTAAAATTATTATTTAATTGAAATTAATACAGATTACTTCCACTATTAAAAGTGGTTACATGCAGTAGATTTCCTTCATTACTCATTGAATGTAGTCACTTTGAGAGAGAAAGGTGATTACACAGAAAATTTTCTTCATTCTTTAAGCTTCTAATTCATGCATTCTTGCCTTGAAAATTTTTAAAATGGGCTTAATTGAATTTTTGTAGCACTTTCTCTTAGCTTTCCTACAAAGCAAGAATCATAATGAAATGAGGTGTATAACTCAAGATATAATCCAAAAACTAAAACAGTCAAAATAACCAAAATGCGGGAAAAATGAACTAAGATCCAATCAAAGGAAAATAATATAAACCAAATCAATTAAGCATAAAGGAGAATTAATGAATAAAATATGAGGAACACAAATTGTAAAAAAATCCAATTAATTAAGTTACTCATATTCAAAATGTGTCACTTCTACTAGCTATTGCCATGCATCAAACATGTAGCAAAATTTACATATAATAAATTCTCTTGGAATTTGGTTAGTTTCATAAGATATTTAATATGTAAAATTGTGTTCATAAATATCCAATGAGGGTAAGTGGTACTAAAGTGCGGAGCCAAAGTTAGAGGAACTTAAAATACAATGAAATGAGAACTGCACCAATTCTTTTGTTGTACTTGTACTAATTGACACACTGGGCACAATTCTTGAGCAACCAAAACTAATGGGACAAAAATTTTGCATGTATTATTGTATGTGGATTTGCATTAGGCAAAAAGTGAGTCCTCCGTGGTCATCCATAAACATATAAACATACACTGACATATCTAATAACAATTCTTAGAAAAAGATATAAAATTATCATCCTTAACAACACCATTCCTTTAGAAGCTGGTGACTTGAAACTCAAAGCTACATAAATAATAATAATACAACCATTTTGAGAATTTGAATCCCATCTCCAACCATCACACAAATAAGCTTTAAACAATCTACAACCATTCTAGCCATGTGACACATGTAAGGGAGTAACACACAATCAATAGGACAACTCTTTGCATGTTTAACATGTGGTTCAACACAATAAGAGTGACACATAATCTAAAGAAATGACTAATTGTATGTTCAACGCATGATACTGGCCATTTTGATAAATTATTTCAAAATTATACTATTTTGATGAATTATTTTTAATTTTTACTCGTTAGAGTAAAAAAACTTGCATTGTGTTTTATGTGTTAACAATTAGTTTTGAAATACCTATTTGTAATAATTAGTTGTAATAGAAATGAATAAATATTAGGTGAACATGTTTATGTTTATGCATTTAAATATAAATTATATATATATATATATATATATATACAAAAATTTGGATATCTAAATTATTGTAAGAATTTAATATTTTTTTTACATTGAATGTACTTTATATATAAATTGTGACAACAATTGTATGAAATTTAGAAATAAATTTAACTAATCCAATCTAAATTGCATTTAAGTAGTTTGATTTGGCTTAGTTTTGATATTAGATTTTGATAATTTAAACTAAATTAATTTTTTTATAATTAATTTGAATTATCTTTAATTTCAAAATTAAACCGAATTACAACACTAACACTCTTACTTAATATTTTTAAATATATATCTAAATCATGATATATTTCTATAATGTCGTTGTTTAAAAAAAACTTATATTATTATCTTGTCATTCTAATTGATTTTTAGAATGGTTATAATTGGAGCTATTTATTTTTTATTTTATTTTTTTACATACTTTTTATTTAATAAATACTTTTGATTAGACTTTTTACTTTAAAATTTAATTTAGTTTAATTTTAAATGAGTATAAATAAAAATTATTAATTATCGTAAAGAGTTAAAAAAATTTAAAAGAAATTTTAATATTCTTAATAAATGATATTTAAACTAAACAAAAGATATTCATAAAAAATATTATATAATTTTTTTCAAGAATATTTTGAATATATCAAATATATTTTTAACATTTTCAAATAACATAATTTTAAAATTATATATATATATAATTCTTAAGAATTAAAAAAATATTATACACCTTTTTAATAAGATGAAATCATAAAGAGTTTTTATCATTTGCTTTCATTAAAACATGATTATTTAATTTTCAGTGATGTACTTTTATTACAATATTTGTTATTAATAAATTTTAATATTTTATAGACAGATATTAAATTAAAAGTAAATATATTTGATATGTTAGATAATAAATATATTTGATACTTTTTATTCACCAAATATAAAATTAGTAATAGAAAAATGCCAATATGAATCTTTAAAATTAATTTTAAGTATAAAAAATATTAATTTTTATTGAAAAATACGTTTATCATATTTAGGGAACATTTAGTAAGAGAAATTTAAAAATTATTATATTAATTTTTCATATTTAGTGTAAATATTTAAAAAAAAAACTTCTTAAAAAGATAGCATTCTTATAAATATTTTTTAAAATTACTTTTCAACAAAATATTTTAATGAGAGAGTAAGAATTTAACATTTTTATAAAGATAGAAACATTTTTATAAAATAAAATTATGATTATTCTCTTAATATTTTAAATATAAACTTAATTTATAATATTTTTCTTCTTGTTTATCATAAACCTTTATTGTTATCTTACAATTCTAAATGACTATTTTAAGAAGAGTTATTGTAACTAAAATTTTATTTTATTCATCAATCAACTTTAGCGTTATAATTATTATTAATAATGAAGCTATTTTTTGATAATTTTATCTTTTCACGTACATTCATCTAATAAGTATTTTATTTATTTTTAAAATTTAAATAGATATAATTTAATTAGTAGTATAAACAAAAATTATTAATTACCATAAAGAATAATAAATGTATTTTTAAACCGGGATATATTTAGAAGAAATATCAAATATATTTTTGACATTTGATATTCTTGAAATATAATTCTTAAAAATTTAAAAATACTATATAACAAAAGTAAGATGAATCAAAATAGTTATTTTACTTTCATTAAAACATGATTATTTAATTTGAGTGATGTATACTTTTACAATTTTTTTATAAGTCAATTTTGATATTCTATATAAAAATATTAAATAAACCATAAATATATTTAATAATTCAAAATAATAACATATTTAATACTTTTTATTCACAAAAATATAATTAATAATGGAAAAATATTGATATCGATCTAAAATTATTTTTAAACATATAAAAGTACTAAATTTATTTGAAATATATATTTATTATATTTTTATGTTTTGATTATAATAAATGTTTTTTATAATCAAAACTACCACCAAATCATCTATGTTGTATTAAAATATACATGTGACATTTGGAACAATTTGGCGTTATTTTTATACAACAAATTTATAGATAAATTTGAAGTTAGATAGTAAAGTAAACATAGACAGACTAGACTCAAAGTCTAGTCTAAACTTTTTTCCACCCCTGGCGGTGCGTGTCACGTGGCTAACTCGGATATGACTACTTGCACAGACAATGTACAAACAGTGCAACAAATATCGACCAAATTAAAGACCATTCGTATTTGTTATTATTGCTATATGAATCGCTTCAGTTAAGTGTCTTTCCCACTCTCCAAAATCCAAATCCCTTTTCATCTAGTAACATTTGATTTTGCCAACATTAGCAAATGCTGTCATCATCAACTACTAAAGGGGAATGCACCTGCAGCCGCAACAGGAAGACCCTCAACAACAGACACAGAGGTTGCTCTTCCTCTTCTTCCACATCGAAGCCACCAACTTCATCCTTTTCGCTTAAACAAAACAACAAAGCCATGGATGATGTGTGGGAAGACATAAACCTTGCATCCTTGAGTGACCAAAACAGTACCCAACACCCCATCACCACCACCGACCCACAAGGTGCGAATTTTCAAGACTTTCTGTCTCGACCCTTGACCAATTTCTCCGTAGCCATAGACCCTGCCACTGCTCTCAGTTTGAGCACGCGCCCTGAGCTCACACACAAGGACTTGCAATTAGCACAACCCCATCACAACCCTCCCTTAAAGGTTGATCCTTTTCAAAACCGTGCTCACTCATGTGCCTCTTTTGGGAATAACACTAAGAAATCTCTCCAACCTGATACCAACTCAGGGGACAGAAGGAATACTCGAATGATGAAGAATCGTGAATCTGCTGCGCGATCAAGAGCTAGAAAGCAGGAAAATATTGATTCTTCTTTTTTGTTTTTTTAACATTTGCCTCACTTCGAATACTTATGTAGTGTGTGACGACAAATATTGATGATATGTAGTTTCTGTTTTTTCTCCTTTCTTTGCTTAACATTTGGATTGTTTTTCCGTGTAGGCTTATATGTTTGAGTTGAAGCAAAAAGTTAAGCTCTTACAGGAAGAGAATGCGCGACTCAGAAGACAGCAGCAACGGGTTCCCTTTCTTCCACTCACTTTGTTATTGGTCTTTACAGTTTAGTGCATGTTCTCCCATTTTCTAACTCAAACTTTGCTGAAGGAGTGGGTTTTTATTTATAAAACTTTAAAATACAAATGTGCCTTTTGTTGACACTTATTAATTTTTTGTATAATTAATTTAGTTTATTCAGAAGTGTATCATTAAGTGTAGACGAGTGATATTATAAAATTCTTAATTAAAATTACTGTCTATTGAATTATATAATAATTCATTTAGTTTCTATGCGATAATTTTGGATCAATTGGATACTTATAATAAAATTTAGAAGGCCATGTTACGTGTTATAGTCTATATTATTAAGATAGATCAGTGAATATTATATATTTGAATAATTTTTTTATAAAATTAAGATTGGTTAATTTAATCATTAAATTAATTTATATGATTTTTAGAATAATATATATTAAATTTTAGATAATTTAAATGTATGTAAGTATATAATTTAATAAAATAGTTAATTTGATGGGGAGGATGTTATCATCCGCTGTGAGTAATGCATGAAGCAAATGGGATGAAGTGTTTTCCATATTTTGCTTGCAGTTGTGTGAAACCGCAGCCAATCAGCGGAAGAAGAAGGGCAATCTATATCGAGCATCCACAGCTCCATTTTAAGATAAGTATTTTTATTTTGGAGTCTTTTTTGCACTGAGCCACGTCCATCTATGACTGAAACGGACCTTTTCAAGTATAAATTTACCCCATTAATGCATCTGTCGCTTGGTGGTTGGAGTACTGTACTTTATACAAGGACAAGTTTTATTTGTATTTACAAAGAATTACCATGTTATATATTTCTAGACTTAACCTTTTTTATATTTTCTTTTCTTTACATTATGTTATTTATTATATTTTTTGTTTCTCAGTAAACGTATATTATTAGTAATTACAGGACACGAATATCAATAATTCTAGAAAAACAAACAAGGAAATATTGGGTGATCTTGCATTCCTAGCTCACAAGGACCTTCGCTTTCGATACACGATCTCAATAGTTATAAGCGTGGGCTAGAAACTTTCATGTTTATCTCAGTTGGTTTGCGCCTGAAGAACTCAATTATTTGCTTAGATAATATTAGAAAAAAAGATGCTCAGAAATTTTTATTGGGTTTGAGAGAATGTTTGGACGAGATGAATGAAAATAAATTGTAAAATGTACAGATAATGACTTTTTTTTTCTTTGATTAAAAGAAAAAATTATTAAAAACTGACTTTAAAAATAAAAATTAATTTATTTTTGGGTATTTTTTCTTCTAGTTTGAATTTAATTATTTTCTTTAAAGCAAGCATAGGATAGTTTCCGATTGATTTAGAGCTTAATGAATTTATTTTAATAAAATTAGTTTTAAACTATTTAATATAATCTGTATTTTAAAGTTACTTTGAATCATGCAATTATTATATTAAAATGCTTTTTCTAGTTAAAAAGTGTAAAATTTGATTTTAAATTTTAAAACAATCTGAAGCATTGATTACCTGCAGCTTTGTTGAAAAGATTTTGTACTTGAGATAGGCATTTATCAATTTTGGTTGTATTTCCCGCGTTTTCGCTTTTACAACTTTTGTTGTCATTTTCTCTTAAATTTTGAAACATTATCAGTTATAAATTATATACGTACACAATGACGTAACTAATTCTAAGGAATTAATTTTTATATTATAAATAAAAATATTTTATTTAAAAAGTAAAACATTTAGTTAAATTATTTTTTATAGTTTATTATTTATATTTTTAAAATTAAAATTATTTAAAAATAATCTGAGTTATATTTTTATTCATTATAATAATTTTAATTTTTTATCTATTATTTTTTAAAAAAATTGTAAATAAAAGTTGTTACTTAATTTTTTTATTTTATATAAACTTTTTAGACTTTTTGTGAATTTTTATATTTATGCATATACTTTTTTATTTTATAAAATTAAAAATATCTTTATTTACATAAAATTCATAATATTTAATATTTTACTTATATTATTTTATAGTATTTTTTTCAATGATCATAATATTGTTTTATTATTATTTTCATATATATTATTTATAGTTATAGAGTTAAATTAAAATGTTTTATAAAAATTAATATTTTAAATATTTTATTATATTTATATATATTTATTTTAAAATAAAGTACATGTATAATATACGTACTAGTGACCAGTCTTTTCTAAATTTTCTTCATTCAAAGCAATTGTTACTGGTTAGAGAAGAAAGTGGGGCAACTATGACCACAAAGTACAAGCCCACTTAGAGGGTGACAGCTTTGGCGCTTTTTTTCTATATAAAAAAATTATTAAAATACGGTATTTTTTTGTCAGTAGAGGTTTTTTAGTATTTTAAATATTTTATTATTTTTCAAAATTGTCATGGATATATTTTAACTTTTTATATATATATATATATATATATTAAGAAATTATCTTAAAATTTCATAATTTTGTTGTTGTTTTATCAGTATTTATATTAAAAAAAATTTATTGATAATTTTTGAATTCTATATTTCTATAGTTTTTTTAAATATTATATTTTAGTATATACAATTTTTAAATTCTATATATATAAAATATTCGGATAGCATTTCGCCTTTTTTTTAGGGGTCAACTAATAGCATTTTGCTTAAACATGGACGGGACACTTCGTTCTTTCCCCAAATCGTGTCGCGGATGATTAACAGCATGGAAATGTATGTATGTGACTGCTATTACTCCATTTATGAATTTTCAATCTTAATTTATTATTGATAATCAAACTTATAATTTGTATAAAAAATTAAGTATATTTTTATTAATGTTTAAAATTTAATTTTTTTTGCCTCAAATAAAATCGTGACTGAGCATGCGACAGCGACACGCACTAAAATTTTTTGATACGTAACAAAATAAACAATATGTGATATTCTCTTAATTAAGTATGTTATTATTAAAAATTAAAAATATAAAATAAATAAACTTAAATAAAAATGCTGATGATTTATGTGTGTTGTAGGATCGTGAAGTTTTCATTCATTTAAAAAGCTATACTTAACCATAGAATCAAGGTCAATGATGGTTTTGACTGACTTGGATGGTTCCAAAAGAATTACTAGCTTGTTTGATTTATGGTGGATTTTAGCATAGGGAAGTTGCCAATTTCCTCATAAGTAGAAGTCAAAGATTTTAGCAAGAAAATAATATAAAAAATGAATAAAATTTTAAATTAAAAATTATTTATTTTTCTAAATTTTAAAGAAGTTAAATAAAAATAATTTTAAAAATAAAAATATATAAATATTTGATTTATATTACTATTTAAATTTTAAGGTAATTGCAACTGAACATGTAGGAGAGCGAGAAGGAGATGAAAATTGTTCATGAAGAGGGTGGGTGATTGCTCGGGGATGGACTTGAAAACAGTGAAAATTGTTCCCAAAAGAAAACATTCCACTACAGTGGAACATGCAAATAACAGCACCGTGTTAGTTATAATTGTAATTTTGATACCTGCTGCAATTTCAATGGATAGAACCTTATGCAAAAATTTCACTTACATTGGGAGAAGCGAAAGAAAATATTTGCAGAAGGATAAATTATAAAAATAAAAAAATTAAATTTCCTATATTTTAATAAATAATTAAAAGTTATAATGTCTTGCTTTTATATAAAATATAAATTAACATGAACAAAAAATTATTCACGATAAATAAACTTAATTTGGAGTCAAATTTATTAATATTATCAATAAATACACAATTAATTACTCTTTATATATAAAATGTAAAATGCTATACTTTAATAATTCGCAAATGCGTTTAAATTTTATATTCATGCTTCTTATCAAAAGAACAAAGACTATAAAAAATTGTTAACTAATTCTATTTTCTTTATGTTTAGTTTTAGTTTAATTCCAATCCTAAAACTACAACTTCAACCTTTGCAAACTTCATTCTTCAGAAAGATGCTTATATAGCTATGAATATGATAGAGTATATAGAATATGTGAGAGCACCAGTCTACACAGTTCACGATAACTTTATTACCAATGCCTCTTTCGCGCCGTATTTTCCTTTGCTATACATCAAAAGTGTTGCTAGGCTTAATCCCTTAAAAATAATCAATGATTTTATTTTACTTAATCTGAAGGGTGAGTCTTTTCCGGAATACTCATCAAATCCGATTCCTCTTGAAACACTTAATACGATCTTGAATGAACTGATTCCCGAAAATTTAACTAATACACAAAAGGATATTTTGAAAAAAAAAAGATAGATAGTATATTATACGCGTACAAATACTACATTATTACCTTATGTTATTACCATGAAAAACTTAAATAGAATATGTATGTCACAAAAAGAAGGGAATTTTAATAATAATAATTTGAATAAATGGTTTTCTAAGAGAAACGTATACTCATTACACTTATAATATAGATACGAGGCATAGGATCGCCAACCACTTATACTAATACTACTAATACTCAATAGTCATACGAGAAAAAAAAGGGAAAAAAAACCATAAAGAACCTATAAATTGTTAACTTAATAACGATAAAAAAAAAAACTTAAGCTCATAGTTTTATTGATTAGATGTGATACGATTGCTTACAATGCAATTAATTATAATATATTGAGAGTGATGAATTTTAAACATATAAATATAAAAATCTTAGAGTAAAACTAATCTAAAAGGAAAACCACAATTATCAATAAACATAAAGAATGCAAAAGGTCTAACATAGTTCTAGTTATGAATTTAGCTACTCATGGTGAAATAGAAAACAAATGTAAAGAAACTCATAATCATTTGAAAAGTAATACAAACTAAAGGAATTCTAAGGGGAAAGAAATGAGAAGAGTTCTTGTTTTCAAAAAGTGTTCTCAATCACTTGCTCAAATTCTTATCTTACATTTTCACTAATGGGTTCCACTCTTAAATGACTCCAAAATTCGTCAAAAGTTGGTTAGGGAAAAGTTTTTCAAGTGTCAAAGTGTATCAGTGTCAAACATGTAAGCCCCTTTTATATTTTGTAAAATTTAAGAAAAGATAATGATTTGACCTCTAGAAGATATGATTTGACCCTCTAAGGGATATGTTTTATCTCTAATAGAAAATCTGATTTATCTCTAGAAAAGATATAATTTTCTATTGTTTAATTTGAATTTTAAATTCACTTTTGTAGGCCTCCTTGAAAATCTCCCAATTGGTTACACAAGAAGAAAAGTACGATCATGCATTCCATCCAACATGGCTATGTATGGTCACGAAGTACTCTCAGGTTAACTATTAAACAAGGTCATGTGCTTGGTCTTACTTTTATCAAATTTCTTCCAATTGCGACCAAAATAACTCCATAATTTGCTAGTGATTGATTTATGATAAACTACAACAATTAATTAATAAATCAGTGAAAAGTTCTCATAAAAAAAAGATAAGCATATAAAAATAAGTCATAAAACATATTAAAATATGGACTTATCAATATTCTCTTCACAAGATCTACTCAGCCAACAAGACCATTACTAATTCCATTAGAACCATAAATCAAGCAAAGATCACTAGCACTTTTTAGATATCACATAATTTATTTTTACTATCTCCCAATGAATTTTTCTAAGATTATTCATAAATCTATTCATTACACTAATAACATGAGTCAAATCTAGTCTAATGAAAATCATGATATACATAAAACTTCCAACAACACTAGATATTATTATTATTATTATTATTATTATTATTATGTATTAGTCCTTTAATATTAATTTATACATTGAAAACTCCAAACTAACACCAAATATAAATTAAATAAAATACAAGAACTTGTGGTTAAGTTTTTAACAAATTTATAAAACTTGTTGTTTATATATAAATTTATACCCATATTTTTAAGAAGATCAAGCCATAACGAACAACTCTGTATTGTTATCACATGCCTTTAAATTCAAGAGAGAATGAATTGAGTTTTAAAAGTTTTTTTACTAATGGTTTTTTACGAAACAATGATGGATTTTCTCAAAATTTAAATGAATGGATAATCACATGAAAGGTGCAAGATTTTTTTTTAGCATTAACCAAGTGCTACAATGATGAATAAATAATTGAAACTTAAAAAGGTTAAAGATTAAAAAAAATACAAACTTGATTTATAGTATTACCAAGAAACACAAATTTTATTTTACTATAACATAATCCAACTACAATGTTTGTTTACATCACTTGGGATATCGCATCCAAAAAAAGTAACATTTCTCTTGAAAGATGTCTCATTTTTACAAAAAAAAATAAAATGAGAAGGATATCTCACTCCCTTAAAAACAAGAAAAGATAACTAGAGAAACTCTCAAAAAGAGTATATAATACAAGTTGAAGCATTATAAACAACAAAGGATCTATATAACAAGTTCAAGAGAAAATAAAGAATAAAATTTTAAAAAAATAAAATTCTCTTTCTCTTCTATTCTATGTTTAGAGAATGAGATTGAAGTTTTATGCATTAAAAAACCTCTAAATCTCTTATAAATTTTAAGTGGTACAACACCTAGTTAAGTCTCTTTCAATGGAGTAAGAAATGATTTAATTTTAATAAAAAAAAGTATTTCATATATTAATCATTTGATTAACTATTACAAATTCATGATATAATGAATTAGTAATCCCTAATCTATTAGGATGCTTAGAACAATTATATAAATAAAACAAAACAAATGATTGATCCACCAAAGCCCTTTTAATTGATTAAGCAATGTAGCGTAAAACAACTATCAGATTGAAACTAATCGATTCGACCATTCTAACCATTTAAAAAGTGTGTACCAAAAAATACTAATTAATTAGAAAAAGACTTTTAATTAAACTATGTTTTTCAATAAATACTAAAAAAGATTCTAGCTAATTAATTGATTAAGTATATCAAAATAATTTATTGGGCCACTTCTTGACTAATATTTTTAAAAATATATTCTAAGCCTTAAACTATATATCCCACAAAATCGTTGACTTGAATTATCATCGTCAAGTATTTGTCAATTGTTTTCATTCATCATCAAGGGTCTGTTCACTTGCTAAATATTTATTTATTTGTTATTACCAAAATCATAAAATCTATAAATATAACTATTCCATTCAAACTGTAGTCACACTCATGACTCCTTTTCCAAAAGGATTTCATCTACCCACACTTCAATCTCTTTGTTAACAATTGGCCCCAAACAAAAGCTATTATAGTATGCCTTGTCTTATTCCTCTCGAGCTCTCTTACCATATCAGGATTTACATTTAGGTTATAAACATTTCAACCTTAAAAAAATTCACATTGAAATTATAAGTAATATTTACATATGACTAATTAGTTATTGAATTATATTTATTTGCTATTATTTAAAGACAAACATCCACACCAGTATATTAATAAAATTGATCATACGAATAGCATTAAACAAAAAAAAAAGAGTTTCATCAATAAAACGAAAAAATAAAACAAATTACATCAATAACCAATGTTAGAATGTGTCAAGCTTTGAAATAATTGAAGACCAGTTCATGTTCCATACAAATTCAGAATTCTAAAATTGACGAGATCCGGACCGCATAAAGTTGCTACCTAGAAAATTGAAGTTTAAATAAACCCCCCCAACACGGGCAATTTATGCCTAGAAAGAGTTTAAATGAAGAGAAGCTGAAAGAGAAAGGTATAAATATAAAACCATTCCAAATGTGATGCGAAGGGAAATAGCAAAGGACATCATACAATCATTCTGTAAAGCTCCATCAGCAGAATGCCGTCTTTCCCTTCACTCATAGTCAACTAGTAGCTATCAAACTCATTCAACACCCATGACATGATCTCACATACAATGCTCCTATATCTGATGGGAAGACGACCCCAAAGATTATAAAAAGCAGCTGAGGGGAATTCAGGGGAATAAAAACAAAAAATAATCCCCGTATTAGCAAACAACCATCCGATCATCAGAGTAGGAACATTTCACCCCATATAAACAAGTCCCAGCTCCATAACACAAAACATAACTGTGCCTTTTCTCGGGGGCATTTTTACCATTTGGTCTTTTTTCTGTTTTATAGAAGGTATTTTCTTTCCATTTTTCAATCATGTTTTCCTAGATACCTCATGAGAAATCATGTCCCACCGTGTCATATGTAAAATTGAGACTATGATCCCTGCTTCCACCATCACACTGAAGAGCATTCTCCAAAAAATTGTTTTAAAGAACATCTGCAGCTCTAATTTCTTGCAGAAATAGAATGATCTGAAACTTGAATACCAACTTGACTAGTACCCTCGCTAGTGGAATGCAGATATTGACTATTCAAATCCCCATAAGATCTATTCTGTGAAACATCTAATCCTCCCGCATCATCATTGTTAGTTGTTTCCAGAGCAATGCTTTGAACTTTTTCTGCCAGCTGTGCAACGGTTTGAGAGCTTGTAACATTAGGATGCTCAAAAGGAGGCATGATCCATCTCTTCCAATCATTTCGTCTCCTTATTTTGGCACCCTATAGTTAAAAAAAAATGAATAAAATTTAAAATTAGAGAGTAACAAACAAAACCCAATATAATTTAGGTTTTAAAACATATAAACTTCAGGCAAGATCAAGAAAAATACCTGAACTTCAACAACAGAAGAAGTTCGAACAGCTTCTAGCACAATCTGGACACTGTCAGTCAAATACCTTACCTGACAGAGAGTAAAAAACCAATTGTCATATAGTAAGTGAATAATGCTTCAACTCATATGTTCGTCACAGATAACAGTATGATCATGCATGAATCAAATCATTGTCTATCACTGTTTAATACTAAAGAGTAAAATAAATGCATTATACTAGCAGTCAGTTACAAACACAAACAAGAAACAAACCTCAAAGATATAAAAAATCAAGCAATTCAATAATTCCTACAATTTAAACTTACTTTCTTGAAGCCTGCTATTAAATTTATAGAGACCCAACCTTGTTCATCCATGTTCCGCCGCAGGTATATATCTTTAACTAAATTCTCACTACTGCAGAAGACAATCAGTACAAAATCTACGGTCAGTTCCCTAAAACAGTTCTAATCACAAAACAACAAAATAAAAAATAGCAACCGACAGAAGTAAAACAATACCTGAAGTAGTAGTCAATCTGGTTGACAATCTTAGTATGCAACTGAGGATCAGGAGGTTGAAAATAAATTGCATTAGGTGGTATTGGAGACACAAAAGGAACACCTCTCAATGTGTCCAGGGGTGGAGATGGAACATATACCACATGAGGAGGTAGTTCTGCAAATGCATATAAACCATCAGATTCAGGCCATAAACATAAACTATAAAATACCATCTCAACATTAACACAGCATACCAGGAAACCCAACAGAGCCCCCAAATGGACGCATAGGAGGTGGAGGTGGTGGAAATAACTGAGCAGGATTAGGAGGTGGTGGAGGCCTCATGAATCTTGGCATATATCTCTGAGACATATAGTTGTCTCTACCATTAAAATTTCGGTGAGCATTCCAGTCAGAATTTCCGCGGTCATGATCACGCCTACCCCCATAATTATGATGGTGACCCCCATCTGCACGCTGATGGGGGCCGCCGCCATTCCGGTGCCTAAATGAATTGCGCTGCTGGGGGTGATCAGCAGACACAAAACCAGCTCTAGTTTGATGGTCTCTTGGAGATGAATTATAGTTGTGGGACCCAGTAGCTGCCATTGAACCTTGATGCACTGACAATTGTGCCCCCGGGTGGCCTCCATTAGCAGAGGTGTTCGAATTGCTACGCTTGAAAGATTTCTGGTAAGTCGGCACAGAATTGCTCACGCTTGCATTATCCCTAGCTTGCCTCTGTGGAGAGGGAACCACGCTTCCAGTACCCTACATTCGGCACCCAAAACAATATCAATACACACGTACACATGTAAAACTCACGACAAAAAACAGTAGATATACACAAAAGGAAAACGGTAAATTAGCAATCGATAACAACTACCTTAACCTTAATTCTAAACAATAATTAAAAAAAGACTACAATGTCCTACTTTTCAGTATAATCGCGATATAATAGAAAGAGAAAAAAAAAACAATAACAAACTCTGATAACAGAACCGATAATTACCAAAGAAACAAATATTCTAAAAGATTGAGAACGTAAGCTTTACTTATTTTTTAGTTTTTCATATTCTGAACTTAAACAAACAAAACCACGAAGGAACAATACCTGCAATGGTGGAATGGACGATGCGTCTATCGGAGCCTTCGCCGATTCGGACGGCGAAGGCGACGGCGATTTCGCCGGAGCACGGGCGGACTCTGACAAGGCGGGCCAGGAATCAGCGCCCATGACAGAAGAAGAAGCGCCATTGGAGGGTTTATTCCACGCAGTCCTCTTTCCAGCGTTGACATTGTGGCCGTTGTCGGAATCTTCAGCCGGGGCGGATTTCACGGCGGAGGAATCGACAAGCGGCGGCGAGGAGGGAGGCGCGGCGGCGGCGACAATCTGGCTCCAGGGCGAAGGAACGCCGGGTTTGGGAGAATGATTGGGAGAAGCACCGCTCATGGCCATTGGAACCAGAATCGGAATGGTAATAGTGTGTGTGTTAGGGTTAATCTCAATCGCAATCAGAGAGTGTTCGTGAGAGCGAGATGATCGAAGAAATTTTGATACCAAAAAGAATTGGATTCGCAGAGAGGAAGAGTGTGTTAGGGTTTGATCTCCGATCGCAAGTGGCAAAGAGAGGTATTTGGTTTGTTGAGAAGAGTGTGTGTTAATTTATAGGAAGGGGAAGGGGTGGGGTCAAGTTGTTTGTTGTGCTTTTTTGCTCACTGTGACTCTCAGAATCAGAATACACTTCCTTCCCATACCAGGTTTTCTGTGACAATTCTGTTTCCGCAAATACCCCTAACCGTTAATGCATTGTTGTTATCTACTTTCTACTTTCAAGTATTAGGATTAGGATAAACCACATTCCTTATTAGATTATGATTCTGTTTAAATTTTATTTTGTAACTATATTTTATTTTAAAATATTTATATCCTTTAATTAAGGGAAGGATAAATCTTTTCTAATATAATCAAAATATTGCGTCTATCTTTCCGAATATTAACAAATTTACACTTTATATCGCTTGAAATTCAAATTTTGTAGATGGATGGAATTTAAAATGTTATTTATGATAATTTTACGCAAAAACTGATTCCGCTTATCTACTTATCTAATCTAATCTAACGGATTTCAAACTTTTTAAATTTTAAAATTTTGTAGAGAAGATGTTAGGAAAAACTAACCGCTTGTTTCTTCCTGATAATTTTATTTAATATAATGTATATCGTAAAAATCGATTTTAAAAATTTAAAACTAAAAAATGAATATAAAATAAATAAAAAATTTTTATAATTAATTTTCAGCCAGAAATATAATATATATATATATATATATATATATATATAATTTCAAAAATATTTTGTTTCTTTTTTCTGTTTTTAAAAATATTTTTTTATTTTTAAAAAAATAAAAAGTTGTTTGTTAACGTGATTTTTATTTTATTTTTCTTAAGAATAGTTTTTAAAATATAATTTTTAAAAATTTAAAACCAAAACAGAAATAAACAAACTTTATTTTTTTCATTGTGTCAAGTAGTTTATTCTACGTCAAGTATTTATTGTTTTACTTCGATGTTAATTTAAAATTTTAATTTTTTTCATGATTTATTTTTCAATTTAAAATATTATCTCTTATTTAATTTTATTTAATGAAAATAAATATTAATTGTTGATAAGTAAAATATGTATTCTTTTTTAATTTATTAAATTTTAAAATAACTCATATAATATATTTTCATTTCATTATTTAAGAATATTTATATTTAATAATATCATGCAGTGTATGGAAAATTATCATATGTTCAAATATATACAATAATAAATAAATAAATAATATTAAAAATTATACTATTTAATACTATTAATGCATTAAATTATGTGATATTATATAATTTTTAATAAAAATTATTATACATAAATCTTATAATGTACCTATAACACATATTAGAAAAGCTAAAAAAACATATAGTCATATTTATATAAATAAGTATTTATAACACTAAAATGAAAATCTATTTTTTCTATGATCTTATTATAATTCTTTTAACTGTGATTATAAATTCATTAATTTTGGATTATTTATTTATTGTGTAATATATATAAAAATCAATGCTGACAAGTTATGAGAATAGGAGATAAAATATGATGACATATTGCTAACAAAATTACGAAATAAAATCATAATAAAATTAAATATATTAAATGTTATGAATAAAGAGTCAAAATTCATTGATAATAAATATCAAATTTGACACTTATATTATTTAATATTTTTTAGAAATGCAAAATTAATAAATTTAATAGTTAGTTTGAAAATTATTATCAAATAGATAAACTTGATAAAATTCTATATTAAAAACAAAATTAATAAATACTTAATCATATTATTTTATATTTAATTAATTGAGTTCATTTAAATTTTGAGACCTTTAGCTTTTATGTAAAATAAAACTGATGATAGGACTTATGTAGATTGCTTGACTTATGTAGAATTCACCTGCTAGTGGTCTTTCTAGTGATGGTCAAAGGAACTTTGGGAATTCTTCTTGCAGTCATGTATGGGAAAGATTGTTGTCTACTATAAGGATTAAAATTTAAACAATTGAAAGTTACTTCTGAATTTGATTGTAACAATTAAACAATTGAAAGTCCAATTTGAATAACAAGTATTGAGGAATCAAAATCGCACATCATTTATAATAAAATAAAATATGCAATTAAACATAAATTAAAAATATTAAAAATTCCATTATGTAACTTACATTTTAGTATTGTCAAATAGATAAATAAATTATATTAATTTTAGACTTGCAATTATGATGGGTTTATCATGCTATATGAACTATTATAAAGTGTGTTATATTAGATTAAATCAAAGTTTGAAGGAAACTAATTAAGTACTTGTCTAATTAAGCATTTAATCAGTGCTAGACACATAGTATCACACGTTTAAATATAAAATGTGTCTGAATATAATTTTGATGATTTAAAATTAATTTTATCAAATTTAAACTAAATAAATAATATGATTATCTTTAATATAACTAGCTTCAAGTTATCATGTTAGCTCATTGAATTAAAAGTATTTAATAAATTCTAACGATTGAACTAACATGTAAAATAATATAAAAGGACCCTTGTGTGCATGTACATGAATTTTTTAAATAAAAAAAACATTTTAAAAGTAAAAGATATTGTAACAAGTTATATGAAAAATTACAATAAATTAATTAGTAGAATAAGCTTGATTTCCAAAAAGCTATTTTAGTCAAATAAGCTTATAAAATATTATTGTATTTGATAACACAAGTTTATAATTTATTTACGATGTTAAAATATATATTTTTTTAAAAATTAATAAAGTCATTGGCAACTACAAATTAGGAGATTGTAAGTTATAACTTTAGGTCAATTTATAGATAAATATTAATAAGAGAAGAAAAATAATATAAAAAACAAATAAAATATTTTTCATAAATTAAAAATAATTTGAAGAAAAATAATATAAAAAATAAAGTAATTTTCATAAATTAAAAATAATTTATCTTTTTAAATTTTGGATAAGATAAATGAAAGTTATTTCTAAAATCAAGTAGTATAAGTTACAATAATTTTATCTTATTTATTTATATTTTAAAAAATAAATTATATATAAATACAAATTTTAATTTTTTATTATTTTATTTAATTGTAAAATTATATTAATATAATATTACATGTCTTTTTTTTAATAATTTAATATATTTCAACTAGTCTTATTAAATAACTCTAATTCAATCATATACTTATAAATGTATTAGTTTTCAATTATAAATTATAAATTTTTAACTAACTTATTAACTATGACTATAAGTGATAAAATTTTAAATAATTTTACCAAATATAGCTAAATAAGATATAAACCAACTAAAATGTTTATATGAAAAAAATAAAAAAAACTATGTTTGATACAATTAGTTGATATTTTAAAAAGCCAACTCGGAGTGGCTTCTAGCTAAAAGCTATCAATTGATAGTTTCTAATTTATTGAACTAAAAGTTTTCGTATAAAATTAGGTACTAAATAAAGTAATATAAACGACCTATTTATTTTTTATATATTTTTATATTTTTTTTAAATTTGTAAACAACAATTATATTTTTAGGTAATTTGAATTTTTACATATACTTTAAACTATAATAATTTTTTTTATAAATAAAATATTTTATTACTAATTAAATACAATACAATTAAAGATTGTATAATAAACCTATATATCATTTCACAAAAAATTAATAATATTGTAGCAATAAAAGAGGAAATTATTAAAGCACTGAGGATAAAAATAAACTTATTTCTCAAACACTTATACTTTAGTCAAATAAATTTATAATTTAATCAAATAAGATAATTAAAATTTATTATCAACATGTAAAAAAAAATTCTTAGGATTTTTTTTCTAAAAGCTCATTATTTTTGGTAAAGTCATAAAATGTGTTAAATATATTTGTGAGATTATTTATTGTCAAAAATCAAAGATTATTTTTTTCAAGACAAAAGAATCACTAAAATAAATAATTTCTTTTGATACTTTTTTTTCATACAAACAATCAAGAATAGAAATTTATTTAATAATTTTGAGGATTCGAATATATAGTAATTATATTTAATATTATATAAGATTAATTTTCAATTAAGATAAGGCACTCCTCCCTATAAGTGGTTTTAAGCCTACTCCGAAAACCTAATATTGCAGTTACCGCTAATTTTAAACTTACCTAACATTTGAATCACTTGTCATAGAGAATTCAGTTTCTAATTGTGACAATCTAGTTATTTGTGATGATTGATTATTCTAAGAAATATATATTTCGAAACTGGGTAAATCTTATAATATGAAAGGCATTATAAAATTTACTTTAATGGTGTGTGTTTGTTATTTTTACAAAAAGTTATATTTTAATATTGCATAGTTATCAAGTTCACGAGTGTTCATTATATATATACAATTAAGTGATAAATAAAATAAAAGTATAGTTTAATTAGACTTCTCAATCCCCAACTGGTGACAGCTTGATCTACAGAAACGTAAAATCAATTGATTATTATCAATTCAATTGCTCCAACTAATTTCGTTGATTCAGCACCTTTTTCTCATGCTGACATGATCAGAGGTCTCATTTTTCATCTAACTTGGTCAGTAAAATCAACTAAATATTATTTGGATTTTACTGTCTCTATTCTTAAGAGAAATTAGTTTTACATTTTTTTAATATTTCAAGGCATGTCACATTAAAGAGAGGCTTTCTTGTTTCATGTTCAATTATTGATATTATTTTAATGGAACGACATGTTTCAACTACAAACATTATGCTATTAAAACAAATCAACCAAAAAATTAATAAATCACTAATATCCTAAAATCAACCTTTGTGAGTGCTAATTCTTAAATTAGTTATCTCTCATCATATAATTATTTCTTTTATTTAGTATTAATTTAAATTAAATTTTTTTCATATTTTACTTTTTCAATTTACTCAATATAATAAAATTTTATTATTATTAAAAATTATAAAATTTATTAAATTAAATGTATAATTAGTAATAAAAAGTCATATATGATATGAAGAAAAATTTAAACAATAAAATAACACATTGTTCACGAAAAAATAAATGGGACAGATATAACACAAAATATGAAAATGTAAAAACCTAAAAAATAAATAATACTGCAATTTTACAGCATAATACTAAAAAAAAAATCAAAATTATAAAATTTAAATCCAAGTAATGAAATAATACAACTGATGAATGACAGTAAATTATTCAAATAACAAATATAACACGTTAACACGAGAAATCAATCAACGAAAAAGGTTTGATCTGTAATTAGGACAAACCAAATAGCCAAGATAAAAAAAAGAGTTATAAATAAGATCCTAAACTTAAAATGGATAAAATTTAGTTAGCTAAAGTTCATATTAACAAAATTAATCAAAATTATTCTATTGTGATATATATATATATATATATATATATATATATATATTATAAGATCTTAAAAAGTAAGTTCTCAGTACGTTGCTCAATATTTTTTAATTTTAAAATACAATTTATAAAAATATTAAAATAAATATTAATTATTATTGATAATAAATATATTATTGTACTAAATAGAAATAAATAAAATAAATAATACTTGAAAGTTAAAAATAAAGACGAAATTACGAAATTGAATATTTAAATCAAGATACATTATTTTTATATATCGTGTGTTAAAATTTAAATTTAAATTTAAATTATAATTGATTAGCAATATACTTTTATATATTCAATTTGACTATTCAGTTTTAAAGACGAATATTTTTAAAAACTATTTTAAATGAAAGTTTTTTTTTTTGCTAGAAAATGAAAGCGTTTTTATATTGCTATGTGAGAACACGTAAAATGTTATGAAAATATGTGCATTATAGGTGGCAAGGGAAAAAAAAATAGAATACCCTACGAAGTGACAAAAATTACCTTAATTTTATTTATTTGTTTTAATAGTTAATTCTATAAATGCTCTTCCTAGTCGAAAAAGTTTTACATTTTAATTTATTTTGATAATAGTTCTTTGTAAATCTTGTTACTTTAAACTTGTATATAATGCGTTCTAATAAAAAAAATGGTTTTATATTGTGATTAATTTGATGAATTTAGGATTATATCATTAAAAAAATCAAACAAAAATCTGAATGCCGAGCCAATTAAGAATAAAATAGTTTTAAGAATAATTTTTTTTTCAATTCTCTTAATTATTAGGTTAGTTGCATTTTTAACTTTATTAAATTAAACTAAACACATTTCACTTTAATTTAATATAATTCATTAAATTTTCTTTTCATATAGTTTAATATTTAATTTTAACAATGTTAATAATTTTATTAAAAAACATTTTTAGAAAACAAAAATATCCTATTAATAATATTTATCTCCAAACAAAACATATTACACTTAATTATTGGATACATGACAATTAAACAATTAGCAAGAGGTTGCTTATCTTAGAAGAATTTAGAGTATGTAATCTCTCACTTCCTCTTCTCTTTTTATGACTAATCTACCCACCTATTAGGGTACTTCTTAGTGCCCAGTGGTTTACTCCTCTAAAGTAACCTCGCATCATGAGCCTTCTTATCCAAGCAGCCAGCTCGTGTTAACTGCGCACGTTAACATGAACGGATAATTCACATTCAATTTTAACAAAAATGAACCCTATTCAGGGGTGAAATTGGACAAAGGTTAGCTTCTTCTTTTTAAAAACAATTTTTAATATAATATTTATCATTGTTGAAATTTACTATTAAAATTTAATAAATTATGTTAAATATGGGATGATGTGCTTAATTTAATAATAATTTAGGGGAGAAAAGTACTTTTTACCCTAGATTTAATCAAATTTACATTTTGAAACAAATATATATATTAGATTTAATTAAATTTTTCTTTGAAAATTAATTTAATTCAATATCCATTGTTTTAGTTTTCTTAAGATATTTAAAAATGTTTTTTTTAAAAGAGTTTGAAGAAGTAAAATTTGTTATAATTATAAAAAACATTTTTTCAATTTTAAAAGATAGTCATAATTGCTTTTTTTTATTCGAAAGCTATTCAAAATAGCTTTTAAAACAAGCTAAATACAGATTATTTTTCAGATTTTGATTTTCTCATAATCTTATACCAAATAACTAGTAAAGCTGAAAAGTTTTCTTTGAAAAAGATAAAGTACTTCTTTACTCATGAAATAATTCCAAACAAACTGTCCTCAATATGCAAAAACTGTTGCTCTCTACCACTTCTTTTAAATATAAATTATAATTTGAGTATAAATATTATCTGACTTAAATTAACAGCTTAGTGAATGCTTTCCATGATACTAGCCATTGTTCATTCAATCATTCTTAAATGGGACTCACTGTTCAAACTTCACATTTCAAGTCCAATTACAGAAGAGGGAGGAAAAAAGTAAAATAGTATTAAATACAAAATCCTACATCGATATTGTCCACCCACAATAAAAATAGGATATATCCAAATATGTTCTCCAGAACCAGAATTCAGAATCATTATAAGTGATACTGAAATTGATATTTATGAATCTTGTTCAAGAGAGAACATTGCAGGTCAATAGCCAAAGCAATGTGAGTTTTTCAAATGATAACGTTGAGCAGAGAGATATATACACAAAATAGGAGACGCACATTGCTTGGTAGCAGTAACTGTCCTCGTATGAAAAGCTCAGATGAAAGGGTCCAAATTCCTCACATTTTTATCATTTTTGCAAAATTTGTCCCCAAAAGAAAAATCTTAACATGGTTCCTTTCCACGCTTAAAAACTTGTCATGCTTCATGCTTCAGCATACATATTTACATATCCCATCTTAGTCAGGTACAGTTATACACATTAACAGAATATCCCTGACACTGGAGTAGCAAATGCTAAACAACATGATGGAATATCAAATTGCAGCAGAGAAGACATAACGGATGAAACAAAATCCATTGCCTATGTTCAAAATAAAACAATGCAAACTACAATGGCAAAAGCATGACAGGGCAGGGAATGAACTCGGCAAGCAAATTTGCATCTATATGCTTTGTATGAATTGCTTCCATGCTAATAACTACCAAATCCAAATTGAGGTCATCAGCAACATCACCAATAATTGCTGTTGGCTTGTTCCCTTCACCAAGCCTCTCTAGCAGATTATAGTCCTTCAATCCACCTGCATGTTTTATCATGAAATCCGAAAAAAGTACATGGAAAATAAGTGATAATAATCCTGAATCATAATCTAACTATATGACATGAATGTATACTTAAAAATTATAAGAATAAGACACCGAGATCTCTAATTCTTTAATGTCACCAGCATACATGAAACTTTTACTTATACCAGTTGTACATTCAATATAATCTTAAGACAATCAACTATCCATAAAATACAAAGAATTTTTCCGCTATGGGTGATCAACAATATGGATCAAAGTAAAGGCAGGATACTTTGTCCAAAAAATAAAATAAAATTATGAATGACCAGTCAAAAACAATTCATAATTTAATATAAAATAATCATTGCATAACAGCACAACTGATTGAGGTAATTCCGGTAAAGAGAAAAATAGAAAAGCTTTTACTAGTAAATGAAACAAAAAAAAATCAGCTGACATTATTCCTGACATGGTATGCCAGATTTATGACAGCTACCATTTCCCATAATTCACTATATAAAGAACCTCTTGGGCTCTAAAATCAAATTCATGCTTTAGGCATGCATAATTCACCTTTACCACAAATATATAAAAGTAATTGAGCCAATACATATACAAACTTGCCGTTCGAAAACATTCTAAAAAAATACTCATGCTGTAAAAGGGTGCTCCCCAAACGAGAGCTATACAAACCTTCAGATAGATGCCAACGGATGCTGGATAATTGGGTCTCATGCTCAGGCAATGACTCCCTCTGTTGTTCATCAATAACTGTAAAACATATAAAGCACATACACCCTTTAACCGTTCAGCTAAATACCAAGGAAAAAACGTCTGAAGGTACCAAAAACAATCAGTTATCTCTTCAACATACTTTAATTCAATTTCAAACGTGTGTATGTACAGATCGTCCATAACATAACACTGTAAAAGGGATTTCCCATTACAATTTAAGAGTTTAATTTTAGTTTACTGTATATGATTTTTATATTATCTATTACAAAAATCAACAATTCTTGCTAATAAGATAATTCATGATTGAATTGCAGTATAAAAAAAATCAATGTATTTAAATTTTTTTTTAAACTTTAATAAAATTAATTTCAAAACTTTAAATATAATTAAAATGTATATCTAAATTAATTTAAACTACAAATTTACATAAAATGTATATTTGTTTTATTAAAAAATACGAGAATGAAATCGGAAGCTGAACATAACATACCTACAACTGTAATGTCAGCTCCGTACTTTTGGGCTAAAGCAGTGGTGGTTGCAATAGCCTAAAAAATAAATAAAAACACAAGTCAGAAGACACAACACAGTAAGAAAAAAATTGAAGTGAATCAGAGAGAGAGAGAGAGAGAGACTCACTTGCTTCGTTCCCTCTGAGAGATACGGATTCCTATCCGTAATTGGCAACAGCAAATGCTTGAACTGCGTAAAGGCTTCACTCGTCACACTCACTTCGGGTTCTTGCGCTTTAACCTTAACTGAATTAATCAAACTAAACTTTCAATACAACCAGAAAATAATTTTAAAAATATTAAAAACAAAATTTAAATTTGACCTTTTTGACCGATCCTGCGGAACCTGGCAAATGCTGAGTGTTTATGGGGTCGGAAAGGGGGAGAAGAAGACAAATTTAAACACTCTGACGAAATCGACAAGGATGGGTTCGGTGTCGAGGGTTTTGGGCACTTGGGAGAGGGTTCGACGGGGACTGCAACTAAATAATGAACGAACGCCATCAAATGGTTGGGGAAGGTGGTATTGGGTTTCTAGCTGAGTTAAGACTGAAGAACAATGGAACAATATTAGGGTGGCTTCCAGAAATCAAGAGAAAACAAGTATATAGTATAACAGTAATATTATTAAATAAGGACAATTTTAAGAATATTGAATAAATTATTAAATTAAAATTATTTTATTAAAAATGTATTATTTTTTATTTTTTAATAAAAATATTATTTATTTTGACATTATTCATAAAATAAAGAGATAAAGCTAAATGAGAAGAGATTGATAGCATGTTTGTGAGGTGTATAGAGAAATGTGTACAGGTGCCCTGTGCTGGTGCCACCTGTTGTCATGGTCACACAATTGCAGTGTAGTACTATAGGGTAACACATGCTAACTCATGGATTATTTTATTTTTAAATTTTAAAAATATTATTATTTTTAATTGCTTTTTTTGTTATGTCATTAGTAGTTTTGCATATTACAAATATGTGATTTTAAAAAAATTATATATTATGTAATAGAAATTATAATATGTCAAAATTACAAGTAATTCTACTTAGGTAAAATTTATGTATATAAATAAAAAATTAATAAGATAATTTTTTTTAAAAATTATGTGCTTATCTCTTGTAGTTTCAGTAATAAAACTCATGAAGAACGTAATTTTTACATTTTATATGATGTAAGTTACTTAATTTACATATTAAATGACTTAAATAGGGATAAAAATAGATCAAATTATCTTACAGAGCCTACGACTTAACTTTTTTAAAGTCTAATTTAATCTGGTCTATTTAATTAATATGCTTAATTTAAGTTTTTCAAAAAGCTTAATTAATTAAATAGATCAGACTTGAACTTAAGAAAAAATATTAGGCTTATTAAAATGGTGTATTTAAAATTTATAATATATTAAATAAATTTATATAAAATTATAATATAACAATATTTAAATAAATTAAATTTTAAAGTAATAAAATCTTAAATTAAAAACTTAATCCTTTTCGTTTGAGTTGAAGAATGTCTTTACTATATACCTTCTTGGAGAGAGAACTCTACTTATTAGATTCTTTTGCATATCCTATACATGTAATCCTGGGTTACATACACCTAGTTCGTTTCATCTCATCCAACATCTTCTTACAATTTTGCGTACTTATTTATATTATAATATTTTTTAATAGTTTATAAATGCCTTATAACTTTTAAAAGACATACTTATTTATATGGATTAATAATCTATTTATAGGGAAACTTAATAACTTATTAAATGTCTAGACCATTAAAAAGGCTAATAGACCAAATTAGACTTTTAAAAAACTCAAATTAGGTTTAATAAAAAGCCTATGGCAGATGATAGACTAGACTTAAGTTTTAAAATTATTAATCAGGCCAGACCTATTTATATAAAATTTAACCTATTTCCATCCTTAGGCACAAACAATCTCATTTTAGCAATGACATTAACCAAATGATGACTAAGATCTTACATGTCACATGATTCAATTATTGTTTATCATAAATTATTAAATTATGACTCATTCTCTTTTTTCTTTAGGTGAATTCCTAAATGCATTGGTTGAAGTAAAATTACTATAATGGGACAGAGTAAAAATGTACTTTACACCCTTTTTTTTAAACAAAAATGTTTGCAATCTTAACATGTGTCATAATCTCTTTATTTCATTTGTGTAATATGCAAAACTCTTAAAAGAATAAGATTTTTTCTTTTATATGTAATATGCAAAACTAAAAGTTACATGGCAAAAACATTCCATATAGAAAAATTATTCTAAAAAAATATTATTTTAATAATTAGTTTTCTTAAAATAAATAAGGCATAACTTATTATTTAATTTAAAAAAATAACAACACGTCTAAAATTTAAAGAGTAGGGGTAAGTATGGATTAGTTTTGCATAAAATCAATCTAAATCTATATTAAATTAAATTATATGGATTAGATTTTAAACCAATCTATTTTAATTTTTAAAAAATTAAATTAAACTTGATTTTAAAATTTAGATTTAATTTAAAACCGTTTTTAGTAATATACTTCCATAGTAAAATTTATGAATATATATATATATATATATATATATAATATTCTGTATTTTCATTTTATGTAATATAAATTAACATTATATAATATTATTATGAATTAATATATTAAAAGTATCTTTATAAGATATAAAATTTGTTATGATAAAATAATTAAAAATATAATTTTTGAAATATATTTAATAAAAATATATTTTATGTGTATATAAAATTTATGAATATACAAATCTATATCTATTATATATATACAGTAAAAGATAGATAATCTCAACAAAATTTAACAAAATGAAAAGTATGACTTTACTAAACAAGCAAGAAAAGCTCATTAATAATAATATATACAGGACTTTTCTCACTTATTGTTTTCTTTGCATACTTGAGCGCATTTGTAAAAAACTTGAGTTTTCAACAAGGCTCACACAGGAGCACTGGAGTCATGGGGCAAACTACTCACTAAACATGAAAATTGGTTTTTAATAAATTAAATTTGGATTTATTAAAGGATATCCAAAACTTATCTCAATAAAAAAAATGGGTTGGATGTCAGGTTTAAAAAAAAAAAATAAGATTTTTAAATTTAATTTATTTTGGTTATAGATTGGATCATTAAATCTAAATTTTTTGTATACCTCTGTCAAAGAGTTAAGAAAAATAGATTATATGCAATATGAAAAATAGCAGGATTTGGATCCTCTCTATTATTTCTGCTTTTGAAAATTTAAATTTTCTTAAGCAAATTATTTTTGCTTAGCTATTCACTTAAGTGAATCTACTTAGGAAATGATTTGTGTGTGTGTGTGTTGTGTGCAATTATCTGCTTCCTTTTTCCTAATTTATGACTGAAAGAGACATATTGGTGAGAGAAAGAGAAGGACTCTGAAGTCACCCACACTAGACATGTACTATGGGAATTGTGAAAATGGACAATAAGCACATGGTTTGCAAAATTAGAAACTTGAATGAAGCGGTTTTGATGGACGGTGATTAAGGGCATTAAACTAAGCATATCGAGTTTCATAATAATCTTTGTAAAGTGAAGGGTAAGATGCAATAGGTTGAAGAGCTTGTTGAAAACATGCTTCAAAATTAACATAACTTGGGTACCACCATGTATAGTTGCTTGCTTGCACATAATTGACAAGAATATTATAATATACCTAAGGAGTTGTGTGCAAAGAAAAAGGCCAAAGAGACCAATATAGTATGCGAAAAGATGTACAAGAGATGCTACAATTTAAATGCTTAAAAAATGGTGCTATGTCACTTAGATGTATATAATGAGGACCATTAACGTTGATGAAATTTGTGAGTTCTCCACTCCACTTAGTCTCTTACAACACGTCTCTTTGGCTAGTATTAGGCATAGTCTCTCTTACATGCAATGTAAAAAGTTATGAAGCACCCCAATTAATTCGCTTAAGCAAATAGTTAAGCAAAAATAATTTATTTAAGTAAATTTAATTTTGTTTAAACAAAAATAAACTAAACATCTTGCATAAAGTAGAGAGGATCTGGAAAAAAAATAGTATAGACTTTATTTTACAAACTTGTATATTTTGTGCGTTAATGATAAAATTAAATTTTAAGAAATTAAATATAAAAGTAATTTTATGAAAAAAAAAAGCATTGAAACAAGCATACTCTACAAATGTATAAAAAATTGTTAATAATTTTATGGAAAATAAAGTTTATATTCTATTTATTATAATTATATAAAAATATTTTAAAAGGTATTTATAACTTTACTTTTTACAATTTATGCAAAATAGTTAAAATTTTTATTTTTGTTGAGTTCTAATAGTTGAAATATTTAAAAATTAAAATAAATTTCTTACTAGAAACATTTTGACCAAATTAATTTATTTATTTTTACAAAACTTAAGTATAATTGCATACCTGTTGTTACCGCTATTTATTGATGAAAATTTGAAATTTATTTTAATAATATTAAGTACAAATCTTTTATTAAAATAAAGCTTTAATTTTAATTAGTTTAAAGAACAATATTAAGTTTCATGGTAGCTAGTTAGTTAGCCTTTTACTTATGGCAATGGGATGGTGTTGAATTTTTCTTTCTCCATTCTTATCATGTTCTACCTCGAACGAGGATGAAATTCTAAATCTAACCTTGTTGCTTTGGATTCTGGGTTTCTCTAGCCCCTTTTACCCTCATTCTACTTACTAAATCAATATTTTAGACTTTATTTGGTAATTTTGGAGAGAGAGTGTAACACATTAAACTTAATTTCAATAAATAAGGAATTTCGCAAATTTTTGAAATAATAAAACTTTCATTTTTAATCTAAGTTTCATCAAACATTTCAAATAAAGAAAGGGGGTTACAAATTACATTAAACAATTGCTACAAGACTTATTCAAATATAACAGTTTTCAAAGTAATATCCTAAGTCCTATAGCAGTTCCATCCACCCCTTTACTGAGTCCAGTACTGATCGTCTTGATTACCTAAAAAATGAATGTAAGGGTGAATACTCTACACTACCCAAAGACACACAGTCAACATAAAGTCTCACCTCTAGCACATTTCCAATACATTAAACAATTACAATCACAGGCAACATTTCACATCCATAAGTACAATTCATAAGCTCATGCATACGCACGCTAGCCATACTCACTATAGTACTGTGATCACAGATTTACACTATGAATGGTTGCCAGTTACCCCCGCCTCACAGATACCACGTGGGCAGTAACGGGTCGCTCAGCAAGGATAGTGGTCAGAGGTCTAGTCAGGAAGAGAGTGTGTGGCCCGTGGTGCACCCCTTCCGCAGTCGGTGTTACCACCACTCCCTCTTCTCCAAGGTATTTTTACCGTTCTCATCTTCTACACCCCTAGTGTATTACTGAACCATTTACAGCACATTACAACGGCACTAACACGCCCATTCACACATGCAGTAATCGTGTTTACACAAGGCACACAGCCCACATTCCATTTCACAGCACACGTCACGTAGCCTACAATTATTGTTCATATTACACGGCCCTTAGGCCCACATTTTCACAA